GACACAAATAGGAATAATATGTGTGTGTGTTTGTTTGTACACGTATATGTAAAAATTTTATATACATACTTCTATTTATCACTTCTTTCTCTGGATGCAGATAGCATCTTTCTTCATATGCCCTTTATAGTGAATTTGTGTATTTATGATAGTCAAAATAACTTATTCTCTCAAAGTCATTCTTAAAACAATATTGCTATTACTGTATACAATTGTTTCTCTGTTCTGCTTATTTCACTCTTTGTTATTTCATGTAAGTCTTTCCACATTTTTCTAAGATCATTGAGCTCATCATTTCCTGTAGCACAGTACTATCCCATTACAATCATATATCTCAACTTGTTCAGCCATTCCCCAATTGATGGGCATCCCTATAATTTCCAATTCTTTGCCACCACAAAGAGAGCTGCTATAAATATTTTAGAACTTATAGGTTCTTTTCTTTTTTCCCTAATTATCTTTGGAAATAGAGCTAGTAGTAGTATTTCTGGATCAAAGGATCTAGGTGGCTCCCTTTTGTCCAAGTTCCCTTTATTGCTTATTGGGCTTGAGGCTTCAGCCTAGATTGGGGTGAGGGGCTGGATTTGAGACTTTACTTTGATCCTGAGGTCAGAGCTTTCATGAAGTTGCTGGATACTATTCCTGCTTCTTGCCCTAGACTCCCACCCAAGGTGCGTTTCCCCTCCTCCATCCACATTGGATCTGCCACCTAGCCTTGGAGCATGGGTGACAGAACTGACATTTAATACCCTTTCTTTCTCCCTATACAAAGTCAGAGCTCTTGATGCCAGGTTCTAAACCTCTTCTTACACTTTACATAGTGTGTGAAAAACAGACTTGCCCTGTTCAAGACCTGAACTGGAAAATTCCATGAGGTGCCTACCTGGTTAAACATAGTCCCCACTGTCCACAAACCTCTGTCTCTTAATGCCAGCCTGGGCTGGGGGAAAAATTGTAGTTGTAATTTCTTGTAATTTTTTTCTTGATCTTCCAATCAGGATTCAGTGTGGTACATTTTCTAGGTCTCTGTAACTTAGTAGTTTTGAGGGTGAGCTGGGCTATACTATTGCCTCCAACCTGGCCATCTTTCCTGATCTCCTACACTTTTGATTTTTTGCATAGTTGTAATCAGTGTGAAAAAAATAGACTTAGGCTGCTTTTAACTTCATTCTTCATCTTTTTGTATGAATGTTTTCATATTTCTTTGTATGTTTCATAGTTATCATTTGTATTATACCACAATATTCCATTATATCATTATACTGTAATTATTTAACCATCCTCTAATTGTCAGACATAAACTGTTTTCAGGTTTTTGCTATTACAAATGGAACAACTATAAATGTTTTATATAGAATGGTCCTATACTAGGTTTTCAGTAGATATTGATTGATTGAAGTCATGTAGGCTTAGAACTAAATGAGAGATGTAGAAGACAAGTAATGCTTTAAAAAGGGACATTTTTAGAAAAAAGAAAGAGAAAAGCCCTTTTTATGTCTGAATTTTAGATTTTATTATGTAACTCACATTATGTTTTGAATATTATTATTGCATTTACAACTTTATTTAGTGTATTAGAGCAAAACTAAGTGGGCAACAAGGCCACTTGAAGGTGGGTTGATAGCAAAGTGAGGTATTGCTGTATTTTTTATTATATGCATTCTCTTACAGGATATAACCCAGGAGTCAGGATTCACACTAAAAATTGTTATTTACAGTCAGCACTTGAACTGCTTAAGGACATGATATCATGTTACTTTTATTAGGTTTTAATTTATGTCCATATAATTTTATCATATATAGTGGGCATGAAATTAACTGAATTAACTAGTAAATGTTTTCTGTTATGCCTAGCAAACTTACTTTTACATTAGTTCAAGGAATTATTTTTTTATTTTTATTTTAAATTTTTTTTTGTTAGACAATTGGGTCACACGGCTAGTGTCAAGTGTTTGGTCTGAGGCCCGGATTTGAACTCAGGTCCTCCTGACTTCAGGGCCGGTACTCTATCCACTGTACCACCTAGCTGCCCCTAATTCGAGGAATTATTAATAATGGACATGTCAGGTTTTTCCATTGTGTATTCCAGAATCTGCTTTTGTTTGGGTTATAAAATCCTATGATACTTTTACAGAAGACCATGTCTGAACACTGATGAGAATTCATTTGTATTCACTAAAAATTGGCTGCCATAGAAACATAGATTTGGAGAAGCAGAAGGGATTTGGGATATCATCTGGATCAAACGTAGAATTTTAAAGATGGGGAAACAGAGGCATGGAGAGGTGAATTGACTTTCCCAGGATGTTAGTGGCTGAGCTAGGGATTGAACCTTGGTCTTCTGACTACAGTGTGGTGTTTTCTCCACTAAAATAATAAAAAAAATATATCCTCAAAAAATGCTGATCAGTTATTCTTTCATTATTTCTTTTTTCTCCTTTCCTTTTCCCAGAGAGACAATGTGGTATGGTAGATAGAGATCTGGCTTCAGGATTAGGAAGACCTGGGTTCAGATCTTACCTGTCCCACATAGTAGCTTTGTGACCCTGGGCAGGTCACTTAATCTCCAAGTTCTTCAGGAAACTTTCTACATCTCTGAAAGATGAAGAGAAACTGCTGACATGCTGTGGCAGGAATTTCCTCATTGGAGAGCTCTATATATCATTGAAATCATGGATCCAAACAAAAAAAAGTTGAAATAAGATACACACATATGTATTATATGTTTATCAGTTAATACACATTTATTAAGTGCCTGTTATGTGCCATGCACTGCAATAAGTGCTGGGGACACAAAAAAGATTCAAAAGACAGTCCCTATCTTCAAGGAGTTTATAATCAAATGGAAATATATTGTACACATACACATATTACAATTTGAACATTGAGTTTCTATATAAACATATAAAATTATATAAAGAAGCTAGAGATTAGATGGGAATAAATCCAGACATACAATGCTCTGTACCTGAATTTCCATAGATAGCTGAAGTAGTGCATTCCCTGAATTTTTACTGAGGGGAGAAACTGGGGAGTAGGGGTGCATATTTCTCTCCACCAGAAGCAATCACTTCTGATCACCTGTGACCATGACCAACAGGCAGATAAGCACAGGGATTCAAGCAGTGGCAGTAACTCCCTCTGACCCGAAGACCACTGGTCCTGCTGGAAGGCCAACCCTCCCTTCCACAGTCCAGGGAAACAACTGATGTAGAGAGGGGACATACCATTCCCACCAACTAATACTCATGGAGTGGGCAAGCTAGCTTACCTGAAGTGGCCAGATATCCTTAGGGAATGACAGGTTGTAGCATATAACATACAACTCAAATCACCACTACCACCTTGACCACTATCTCCTCTCTGACCTGATGGAGACAGTGAAAGACTGTGCTCCCAGCGCATTCTAGGAAGAAACCTCTGTAGAGATGCAGTCCAGCAACTGCTCCTGCAAATGCTTCAGCCACAGCTACTAAGACCAAGGAAAGAAACTGCTTGCCACCATCAGAAAGTGATGTGAATTGATCAGTGGAAATGTCATGAAAGAGACAAAATATTTGCTTTGCCACTGCATCCTCAGGATAGGGGCCCTTTCCATCTCACTTGCAGCTGAAATCTTGCATGTGGTTGTCTCTGTGACTAGAATGTAACTCTTTGATTTGAAAACAGAGATGGTCTGATTTCCTTCCTTCATCCTTCCTTCCTTCCTTCCTTCTTTCCTTCCTTCTTTCTTTCCTTTCTTCCTCCCTCCCTCCCTTCTCCCCTCCTTTCTCTTTATTCCTTTCTCCCTCCTTCCATTTCCGTCCCCCCTCCCTCCCTTCTTTCTTTCTCTCCTGTCTTTCTCTTTCGCTCTCTCTCTTTCTCTCTTTTTCTTTCTGTCCTTCTTTCTCTGTATCTCATCTCCAGTACTTTATACAGTTCTTTGGACATAGTAAGATCTTAATAAATGTTTTTTTTTTTAATTTCTTTACAATTGATATGGACATATTACATTCTGTACCAACTTTTATGTATTGTTTTTCATTTATTTTACCTATGCTTATATAAAATAAGAGTATATGTTTAAAGTAAGCTGAAAAGCATTAAAATTTAGTAGAAAGAGCATTGGCCTGAAGCCAAGAAGACTTTGATTTAGTTCTTACCTTAGACCCTTACTGGCTGTGTGACCTCATGTATGTCACTGAACTCAGTACTACATGCAGCAACCTAAGATTTAAAAATGCCTTGGTAGAAATTATTCATTTACAAAAGAGCTTCCTCTATCATTAAAATTGTTGATCTGAACAACAGCAACAACAAATTAAATCATAGATGGAGAATAATTGGTAGTACAATTGGATACTATATTTTTATATCAACATATGAAAATAATCACAAGAAAGTAGAGATTAGGATCAGCAAGGACAAGACATTGGCTTCAGTCCCTCCTCCAGTCCTTTAGCAATTTCAAATAAGAGGTTCTAACTAGATGTCCATTAAGGTCCTTTCGCTTCATAAATATTTGATACTATGATTCTGAAGAACATTTATTTCATGTGCCCCTGATTGAAAGTAATCTGGAGGGTTTATGTTCTGCTATTGGTATTATATATTGGTATTATAAAATATTGGTATTTAAAATGCTCAATGCCATTTTTATGGGGATCCTAATTAGTGGTGTCAAACTCAAATAGAAATGGATCTCTGTGGGTCACATATTGACTTTGAAAACCACAAATTAACATTAACTATATTGTATTATATTTGTGTTTATTTTGTTAAGCATTTCTCAGTTACATTTTAATCTGATTCTGGCCACACTCTGGAGTTTTGCCAGCTGTGAGTTTGATACCTCTGCTCGAGTTCATGGTTTTCTACACATGTTTTAAGATATTATAGAAATGTTTGATTTTCATGGCCTACTTATAAAAATAATGATGATGATAATTATTATTATTTAAGATAAATATAAAATCATGTTTTGTAATAAAATAAAACCTATTCACTATTATATGTTGAAGATGGCAGATCATACAGAAGTAATGAAAGGCATCTATCAGTACCCTGGTGTTCGATATCCTGTGCTCACTCCTAATCTTCAGGGTTTTCATCATGCTGTAAGTAATATTAATTTCTCTAAGAGCTGAACAATATAACTTGCACTTTTATCAAGCAAATTGCCTAGGCCATATGATATTCATATCCCACATGTATATCTCACAAGGATTGAGTTGACATGCTGTTTAGGTAGTAACACTTCATTTATCAGGCTTGTGAAAGAATGAAGTACACCACATAAATGCATTTTCCAGATAAATGAAGGTTATACCTTCAAGTGCAAACCTTTTAATTTACCCATCTGTAACAAAAATTTCTCTAAAATGTACTGTATATTTTTCTAACTTTTAAAATATAAGATAAGGATAGGGACTGGACCTGGCATTTCATTAGTTCAGGGAACTCCCAATTAGGTAACTCCTCTTAATGATGTGGGTCAGTAATTCTTAGCAGCTTATGTTCTTAGAGAGTTGCTGAGAATGTTGAGAACCAACACTGATAACTTCAGTGAACTGTTCAAGGTCACACAGCCAGTATGTGGCTTAGGCAGTACTTGAACACAAGTTCTCCTGACTCTAAGGCCAGCTCTTTATCCTTTTTCCAAGCCACATCTGTTCAACTTCTTATGGAACATAACTTACTCTATTCTTGATGTTCTCCAATCACAGCAGCCATCTATATGATTAATACCACTCAAAAAAATCCTTTATTTAATAGTCCTCACTATTAGCATAGTAAGCACATTATAACGTGCACTAGAACAGTTACTGTAGGAGCATAGTTCTAGAATTGGAAGGTATCTCAGCAGTCATTCAGTCCAATTCTCTCATTTTTCACGAGGAAACTGATGCAGAAAAGTTATGACTTGTCCAAAGTCATACAGACAGTAGGTATCAGAACCAAGATTTGAACCTAGGTTATCTGACTGTAGAAATCTTCCTTTTCCCACTGAACCATACAGCTTGCCAAGCATTGTGCTTCTGTGTCAATTTTTCACCTTTTCTATTCCCTTGCTTTATGTCAGTTCCTTTTCCACCATTAGCCTTCTCTTCTGTCTAATCTGTAGAGATTGGGAAACGAGATAATCAACTGTATTAAGAATTATATGCTAAAATAGAGTTAATACAGTTGTGTGTAGGGGGAGCAAAGAATGATTTGAGACATTAAATCAACTGTATTAATGACCTTATGCTAAAAATAGGATTAATATGGCTGTGAATAGTGGCCAAAGATGATTTGGAAGTGGTTGTTTTGGACATGTATAGGTTCTTCCTCCCCATATATCTCCAGTTGGAGATATGATCTAGAGGGTTGAGTTTAATGAATATATGATCTATAGATAATCAAGGTGTCAACTTGAGTATTATGCATTTATGTCACTTTTATTAGCTATTTATAATTGCTTTTTATCTTTCTGTGTTACATTTTGATAAAATTAAAGGTCACAACTTAGAGAAACACAAGAAAATAAGGCACATAGAAATTTTCTTGACCTGTGTGGGGTATAGCTATAACATGAATGAGCAAAGGAAGATGGTAAGAAGATAGTGGATTAAAAATTGATTGAGATGTTTAAGCATTGAAGACAGTGCTGTATTTATAGTGGAAAAATGAAAAAAAAAATAGTCTAGAGTAGTTTTCATTAACTAATGTACTGAATATAGGCAAGAGGACAGGGAGAGAGAGAGAAAAAAAACAGGGAGGGAACTTACCAGGCCCATAAAGTTGAACTGAATGCTTGAAATTAATACTTAGAATTAAGGTGAGATAGTGGAGGGTCCAGAAGAGAGACATGGTCAAAACTGTTGGAAAAAGATGATTTTCAACTGGGTAATTTAGAATAAATGAAGGGATCATATCAGGAGGCAAACAAGGGGATTGGAAGAGAATTAAAAATGTTAGGTAAACCAAAAAAAAAAAAAAGGAAAGCTTTTCCTGTAACAATGAAAAGAGGACAATCTTGGAGAACCCATAGAAGGAAAAGTAGTTAAGAAAAAAAAGATTGCTTCTTGAATATGGGAAGAGAAGATAGTCTATTGTCTTTTAATATTCCAGCTTTGTACAATTTGATTTTAACAGAATAGTTTCTTTTGCAAACACAAATTTAACAAAAGTTCTGTCTTTTCCCTATTTCAATTGAGATATTGCTGAGGCAAAATAACAGTTAGAAGAAACCCATGAGAATTAAAACTTTTAAAGAGTCTTTCCAGTCTCATAATTATATAATTATTACCACTTATAAAATTGTCATAAATCACAGTGATAGATTAAAAATGCTAGATGTTAGAGAATGATCACATACCAAATATTTAGGGAAAAATAAATCTATGTTTTTATTTCTTCTTTCTAATGTCACTTACTTGGCATATGTCGAGTCTCAAATTTTTGCCTCTGAATTATGTTTTACAGATCGCAGCTGGGGCCACAGAGGTGTCAGTATTTGGGGCAGCATCTGAGTCATTCAGTAAGAAGAACATTAATTGTTCTATTGAAGAAAGCATGGAGAGGTTTGAAGCAGTTGTTAAGTCAGCAAGGCATATGAATGTTCCAGTGCGAGGGTATTTATGAAACTTTGCAAGTAACTATATTTTATGAACTGAAACCTCCCCAAATATTTTTCTTTTTAAGTTTCTCTCTCTTTTTTTAAAGCTCTCTTTTCTGGACTATCTAGCATGGTTTCTATCTGGTAGGAGATAGAAAAATGAGATGGAATATCCTTTTAAAAATGTATTATAGATAATAATTGCAGTGAATGTAGAAAATCAAATAGACAAAACCAATTATAAATTGCTATAACTCTGTCAACTAGGGCCTCTAAGGTTTTTTCCAATTCTAAGTGCATGCCTTAATGATCTTAATAGTCATTCATAATCTTGATCTTAATAACCATTTATGATTTATATGAACTTTAACAAGATAAGTTTGTTTTCTTCATCCCCTTCTGATCTTTTTGTATTATATTTACATTATATTATATTGTAATATTAATATAATATAATCTATACTTTGTATTGTTTATATCATATTATATTTATAATTTTTTTTATAATTCTCCAAATTTATTTTTCTTTGCTTGGCATCTAGATAGTGCAGTGGAGAGACTGCTTGTCCTGGACTCAGGAAGACTTGAGTTCACATCCAACCTTAGATACTTAATAGATGTGTGGTCTTGAGCAAGCCACTTAACCTCTTGCTTTAGTTTTCTCATCTCATCTTTAAAATGAGGAAAGCACTTATGTCTCAGGGTTGTTGTGAGGAATAAAATAGATAATATTTGTAAATGCTTTGTGAAACTTAAAGCACTGTACTAATTCTAACCATTATTAGTGGCAACTGTCTATAGGGGATCATTTCAAAACTCATGAGGTACACAACTCAATTGATATGAGAGATTACTATAATAAGCCATCATTTCTTAAGCACCTATTGTTTGCCAAGTACTGTGCAAGGCACTGAGCATACACAAATAAAAGTGAAACAATCCCTTCTCTGAAGGAACTTGAATTATATTAAAGGAATAAGTAGCAGAAGGTGTATGAGAAGAGGCCTCATGTAAGAGATGGCATATGAGCTGAATTTTGAAAAGAGCTAGGGATTCAAAGAGGCAGAAGTGAGAAGGGAATGCATTCCAAGCACCAGGGATAGCATAGAGGTGGGAGATGGAATATTGTCTGTGATGGAGAGCAAACAGCAAATTCAGGTGGGCCATAAAATAAATGAAGAGGATAATATTTAAGCGGTATGGAAAGGTAGATTGGAGTCAAATTTTAAATGGCATTATATGCTAAATAGAGGCACTTATGTTTTATACTTTAGAATTTAGGGAAACACTGGAGCTTATTGATCAGATAATGTTATGCCCAAGCCTGTACTTTAAGAGTATTTATTTGGCAGTTTTATAGAAAATGGATTGTAAAGGGTGGAGATTACCATTGGATTGATGTAGAGATCTTGATTAGGAGGCTATACACTTGGAATTACCTATTGCAAATAATAAATCTGGAACTGTCACTTCCCTGACAACAAATATATGAAGTAGTTTTCTTTATTGATAATTGGTATATACTCATGTACATTAATACTTTGAAGATGCATTATTTTCCCTTAATCACTACATTTTGTACCTCCTCTTTGCCTTAATATGTATGTAACCCCACTTCCAAAGCCCATTGTTGTGGGACACTCTCCTTATGGATGGAGATGAATACCCTGCCCTGCATGAGGGACAGGGCAGAGTTGGCAAGAGCAAGAGAACTTCAGTCTTCCTAGTTGTTTCCTTCAGCAACCTGAAGTGGAGTTGGCCTCTTCCATCTTCTTTCTTGAACTGGAAGCTAGAAGCACCCAAAACCATTGTAGAAAGCCCTAAGCAATTTGAAGAAAACTGAAGAGAACTCAGAGATGACTAAAGCTCTCTTACTCTTGCCAACTCCACACACTCTAATGGTCTTTGGAACTGGTGTTGAGTATTTTTTATGAGTTTCTCTAAAAGTATTATCATCTGGCATCTGATCTTCTGGTGGTGAGTCTTTCTGTACTTAGGTAGGCTTGTCCTCCAATGACTGAGATACAACCCAAGACACTGTGCAAAGCCTTTCAAGCTTGTACTACTGCCAGAACTCATGTGTCACAGTTCTTTCTTCAGAAAATCCAGGGTTGCCTCCATATTCCAATGAGGTATTGGAGTAGGACATTATTGGAGGATCCTTATTATAAATCATTTAAACATTGTTTTTCGATTAGAGCACAGTGATCTTCATTAGTATAGGAAAGAGTAGATTTATAGCACAAGAGAGGACTCCAGGTAAATATTTTTCTATTAAAAAAAAAGACTAGTCAAGTTAGAATTAGTTTTAGCTTTTTTTTTCTTCCTGTGAGTAGAGAGGAAATGGTTCATAAAGAGAAAATAATTTGGTGAATTAAATTCCATACAACTAGTTCTTTTCTTTTCTTTTTTTTTATTAATAAGTTTATTTATTTTTAGTTTTCAACATTTACTTCTACAAGATTTTGAGTTCCAAATTTTCACCCCATCTTGTACCTCCCCCCACTCCAAGATGGCTTACATTCTGAATACCCCTTCCCCTAGTCTGCCTTACCTTCTATCTCTCCCCCCTCCCCTTCACTTAATCCCTTACTTAATCCCTTCCACTTCTGTTTTCCTGTAGAGCAGGGTAGATTTTTGTACCCCACTTCCGGTATTTCTTATTTCCCAGTTGCATGTGAAAATATTTTTTTTAAACATGTGTTTTTAAAACTTTGGGTTCCAGATTTTCTCCCTTCCTGCCTCCTCACACAACCTCATTAAAAAGGCAAGCAACTCAATATAAGCTGTACATGTGCAGTTCTGCAAAACACTTCCATAGTAGACATGCTGTGAAAAACTAAGTCTATTTCCCTTAATCCTATCCTGCCCCCTCATTTATTCTATTCTTTCTTTTGACCCTGTCCATCCTCAGAAATATATGCTTCTGATTACCCCTTTTCCCAGTCTGCCCTCCTCTCTATCATCCCCCTACTCTCTTGTCCCCTTTCCCCCCAACCTATTTTCCTGTAGTGTAAGACAGATTTCCATACCCAGTAGAGTGTGTATGTTATTCCCTCCTTAAGTCAAATCCTATGAGAATAAGATTCACTCATTCCCTCTCACCTTCCCCTGTTTCCCCTCCACTGTAAGAGCCTTTTCGTTTCTGTTTTTTTTTTTGGGAGATAGTTTACCCCGTTCTACCTCTCCCTTTCTCCTTCTAGTATAATCCTCTCTTACCCCTTAATGACCCCTTCATCTTCAACTCACCCTCTGCCCTCTATCTATCTACATATATGTATACACACATATAATTTTTCCCTCCAACTACCCTAATACTGACAAAGGTCTCATGAGTTACAAATATCATCTTTTCATGCACGAATGTAAACAGTTCAAACTTAATAAGTCTCTTATGATTTCTCTTTCTTGTTTACTTCTTCATGTTCCACTTAAATCTTGTATTTGAAAGTCAAATTTTCTATTCAGCTCTGTTTTCTGTTTTCTATTCAGCTTTTCCTGAAGAATGCTTGAAAATCCTCTATTTCACTCAATGACCATTTTTTCCCTTGAAGGATTATACTCAGTTTTGCTGGGTAGATGATTCTTGGTTGTAATCCTATCTCCTTTGCCCTCCAGAATATTATATTCCATGCCCTGCGGTCCCTTAATGTAGAAGCTGCTAAATCTTGTGTTATCCTGATTGTGTTTCCACAATACTTGAATTGTTTCTTTCTAGCTGCTTGTAATATTTTCTCCTTGACCTGGGAACTCTGGAATTTGGCTACAATATTCCTAGGAGTTTTCCTTTGGGTATCTCTTTCAGGAGGAGATTGGTGGATTCTTTCAATTTCTATTTTACCCTCTGATTCTAAAATATCAGGGCAGTTTTCCTTGATCATTTCTTGAAAGATGACGTCTAGGCTCTTTTTTTGATCATGGCTTTCAGATAGTCCAATAATTTTTAAATTCTGTCTCCTGGATCTATTTTCCAGGTCAGTTGTTTTTCCAATGAGATATTTCACATTGTTTTCTAATATTTTATCCTTTTGAATTTGTTTTACAGTGTCTTGATTTCTCATAAAGTCACTAGCTTCCAATTGCTCTATTCTAATTTTTAAGGAAGTATTTTCTTCAGTAATCTTTTGGACTTCCTTTTCCGTTTGGCCAGTTTTGCTTTTTAGGGCATTCTTCTCCTCACTGGCTTTTTGGACCTCTTTTGCCATTTGAGTTAGGCTATTTTTTAGGGTGTCATTTTCTTCAGTATTTTTTGGGGTCTCCTTAAGCAAACTGTTGACTTGTTTTTCACGATTTTCTTGCATCACTCTCATTTCCCTTCCCAGTTTTTCCTCTACTTCTCTTACTTGCTTCTCAAAAATCCTTTTGAGCTCTTCCAAGGCCTGGGACTGATTCATATTTTTCTTGGAGGCTTTGGATATAGGAGCTTTGACTTTGTTGTCTTCTTCTGGTTGTATGTTTTGATCTTCTTTGTCACCAGAGTAAGATAATAAAGTCTGACTCTTTTTGTGCTGCTTACTCGTGATCCCGGCCAATTACTTGAGTTTTAAATTCTTTGTTAAGGTAAGAGTCTGCTTCCAATATGGAGAATGTATTGTCCCAAGCTTTGGGGGTTTGTACAGCTGTTTTCAGAGCTACTTCTAGGGACCTCTAAATTTCAGTTCTTTCAAGATAGTATGTTAAGGGGCGAGGTGTTTCCTCTCCACTACCACTACAACCTACACCTTTCCAGCACTCCTTCTGTCCCAGGACTACCCCTCAGAACTGTGACCCAGATCCAAGCACTGGCAAAGCAAGAGATCCCTGCAATCCCCCTCTGATCAGCCACTCGATTCCCACTCAATTTGTGGGCCTGAAGTTCAGGAGGTAGCTGCTGCCCTCGGGACTTGTGGCTGAGACCTAGCTTCTCTCTCTCATCTCTGTCACAGACTTTTTCCACTGACCTTCTAAATTTTCTTAGGTGGTCAAGGGTTGAGAAGTCTGGAAACTTCCACAGCTGCCCATGAGTCAGTCCTCTGA